TAAATACCTTTGTAGAGGCCATTATAATTTTTGTCTCCAAAATGTGAACCGCTTCAAACGAGACATCGCTGAAACCATAAAGTTAATATATTCCATAAGAGAAATCAATAATTGGTTTGATATAGTCCATGTCCTTTCGGCTAATCTCTATGCGAATTTATCTCTCAGTTTGAAAGCTTTTGACTTGAATTTGTGCACTCTATAATGTGGCTGCATTAGGAACGATCGGTTGACAATTGGGTTCTAAAAAACTTCTACGTTTTGAAAAATTGGTTCTCCCAATAGAAATTAGAAATTAAAGATAACTGGACCAGAACTCGGCAATTACTAATGAACATATAAATCCAAGTCTTAAAAAGATTGCACGACTACGCATATTATGATAAGTCTAAGAGTTTTTCTAGGTATATTCTGTTTTGAAAGATATTTGCATCAAGCTCAGCATTTGCAAGCTTTACATTTCTCGCATATCTGTAGAACCGTTAGGCAAATTTTTACAAAAAGTATTTAAATCTAAACCTACCGAAGATTATTTTACTTTAAATTTAAATTGATGTGATCGCATGAGAACTCAATTTTCAACCGGAATATTATTTCTAAAGAGAATGTAAGTTAAGTGGGTCGGGGCTAGCCAAGCGTAAGAATTATCGACATGGATCGATAAATATGTTGATTCTTTTCGATATCAAGGCTAAAATAATCGATATGCAGCGCTAAATAAGAAACTTGAGGGCAGGATTAATGCAGCTCTCGGCTAAATGAAGCTGTTGGAAGTTAATCAAGAGTAAGAATAATCGATATGGATCGATAAACATATTGTTTTCTTTTCGATGTCAAGGCTAAAAATAATCGATATGCCGCGATAAATAAGAGATAATGCTTGGCGAAACTTGCGGGCAGCATTAATGCAGCTCTTGGCTAAATGAAGCTGTTGGAAATTAATCAAAGCACGCGCCAAGCGTTAAGCAATTAGCGTCGATAACGCATTTAAGTGCGAAAATTGAAAACCGAATTGAAGCCGGAACTGGAACTGTAGTTGGAGCTGGAGTCCTGGCGTCTTTGAACTTGGGCACTTTTTGCATTTAACACGTAATAACAATTACAAATGCGCACTCCACAAATCAAGTGAACGAAGCAGCCGGCTCCACGAGCTAGACTATCCGTAACAGGCAGCTAATTACAATTCAGGACGCGTTGCACTCGAAAGTTGTTGCTCATTCAACACTCGAAGCGAGTGCCAGGACCTGGCCGCAGATCAAAGTAACAATTTGCCCAGGCCCAGGACCAGTAACAGGGAGCTACCAACTTCCCCTTGTAATTAAATTATGTGCGAAGTGACGTCGTCCTCGCTGGAGTTATATAGACGGAGTTCCAGACGAACAGGAGCAGAGAAATGAGGGAGGGGGGGGGGGGGTGCGTAGTCCTTGCTGGGAAGCAGACAAAGTGGTTGGGTTTTCTAGCGCCCATCGGAGATGTTGTGGCAAATTAAGTTTGCTTTTGTTCTAGATTAAAAAGGCATTGAAATGTCGACAAGGACGACAGAAGGTACCCGGCGTAGCGAGTGGAACTAGAGAGAGAGAGAGAGAGAGAGAGAGGGAGAGAGGGCGAAAGGGAGAGAGAAGTCGTTATACCCCTTAAGCAGCAGTTAAAATGACGCCTTCGGCCAAATGAAATTAACTTTGTTAAGTTTGTTTTCGGCTTCGGTTCATGATTAAGTTCCGACAAGTACTAAAATCAAATGGAAAATCGAATTAATAGGCCTTATTCAAGTCCGAGCTGACCAGTTTGATGGCAACAAGAGCTCGTTTGTTCATTACCAGTTTGACCAAATCCCAAAACTGTTTTTTTTTTTTTTTTCAACCGCTTCTGCACTGGTAAGCAACAAGTGTCAGCTTGAATTTTCCGGCCTTGCCGGCGGCAAGTCTCATGCTTTAAATTCACAAAAATTGAAATGAAACGATTTCAACCAATGAAAATTAACTAAATTTTTACATAAATCTCTGAAAATGATTTTAAAATCGATCAAAATGTAAACAAATACCGTTTTCTGCCAATTGTTCACAGTTTCCAAAATCTGATCAAATATTTGATCTACGTTTTTCCAGAAAGAACCTTGGATCCTGCAAAAAGTTCGAAACACATTTGAAACAAATTTTCTACAAGATTCTTTCACCCCCCCTCCCCACGACATTTCCATCAAGATTGAATTGATTTTGAAAATTTTTTGTGATTTTTTCACACTTGCGAGTGATATATCCAATATTGTAATTCACTTCAAACTCACTTTAAAATCAAAGTCTTAGTTTGTTTAACAACACTGCTATATTTATTAGTTAGAACTAGTTCAAGGCCCCTTTTCGAACGTTTATCAAATGCAAAATCTTCAGTCAAGCAGAATTCAGAAGTATAATCGATTGAAATTCACTTCCAACTCACTTTAAAAGCAAACTTCTAATTGGTTTTACAACACTGCAAATGCAAATTGAAGTTCATGAGCTAGTTCCTGTTCTTTGTGCGACCTAACCTCAATTTGTACGAGCAAATTGTAAAAGCTGCAACAACAGCCAAATAAATATGGATTCATTTGTGGATAACTTGGCAAACTAACTAAATCCTCCCCACTTCCGTTTTTGGTAAACAAGACAAAGCCCAAAGTCAGCCCAAATTGACACTTAACCCGAAGCCAAAAAGACGAGATAAACTTGTCTGATAATAGATTTAATGTGCCTAATTCAGCTAATTTTGCCTTTTCCGTTTCGAGCAAAAATAATTAACACACGCATGTTAGCTGGAAATGTTATTAGGCCCTCGCCCGTCCACCCCCTTCTATCCATGTGCCTGGCTAACATCTCCTGACAGTTACATTTGGTCCTTTATGAGGGTGGGAATTGTTGGCAAATAGGATTTTGGGCAATGTTTTTCTTGTTATAATACGCTACAAGTGAATGTTATGCCTAGTTTGTGCTCTTTATCATTGGCTAAACAAGCTTCAGACGATGTTGACAATTGGTATATAGATATTATTATTTTTTAAACAAAAATAAAAGATGTTTTAGAAAAGTTTCTGATCTTAAAAAACTCAAAAGTACTTTGGTATAGAAACGACTTTTTTTGAACTTTGTATAAGTTCATATTTAAATATATAAAAGGGTTATGAAAGATTCGAATAATAAAATAATGGTCTTTCTTTCTTAACTTAAATAAAGTATTTTATTACTTTATAAGCATATTCAAAAGTTGGGATATTTTTCTTGTTCAATTATTTATATTTTTTTTTTTTTTTGTTGAATCAGAAAAAAGGTTTATGCTTGGATTTTTTTTATTTTTTCTCTCGAGTTTTCGACTTTTTTCTTTCTCAACTTAAATAAAGTGTCTTATATAAATAATTGGCATATTTGACTTTAGAAGAAGTCCAGGCTTACATTTTTTTTAATAATATTGATTAGTTTAAATAATACCTTCGGTTTTTATGAGGAGTTAATGTTTAATGAAGAATTGATCATAATACAAATGTATTTAAATAAAAATCAGAATAGAAATCTATTTATCATGAGCATGATTAAATATTTTTCAATTCTTCTTTTGCTCTTATAAAAAAAGATTTTCCTAATAAATTCTTACAAAAAAGAGCATTTCATATTCGTTGCTTTTTATTGTTTTTTTTTTTTTTTCTTTTTGCCATGTGCCTGTGCTTGTTTCTGCTTTTGTCGTTCTTCTTGGTCAATATCATAACAAGTGTAGGCTACACACACACATACACACACACACACAGCGAACTGTTTGTGTGTTTGTATTGCTAAACCCATAATCTTGTTGTTTTATAACTTTTAATACCTATAATCCTTTGTCCTTGTTGTTGTCCTGTTTCGTTGAGGTTTCAGTTTGTCGCCACAGCATTTGGCAGCTTGTGTTAGCCGGGCTTCTTGTTGTTTCTGTTCTTTTGTTGTTGTTGCTGTTGTTGCTGTTGTTGCTGTTGGGTGTGCTCCAACAAGTTAACATGTTGTTTGTCGGAAATTGACCAAATAAAATTAAATAGTAAACAATTTTCCAGCACACAATTCAGGGCGAGCGGCCGGAGGGCCCCAGAATAGATGTTGGCTAAATTTCCAATTATCTGCACAACACAATCAGCCAATAATGTGTGTGTGTGTGTGTGTGTGGGCGTGGTCATGCTACTTAACTGTGCTGCAGGTGCAAACACTTTGAAGAAAAGTTCTTAAAAGTTTGGACAGCTTATGATTATATATACTCACAATATATAATATATTATTATATATGTTTAAAGGTTATGAGAGATTAAAATAATAAAAAGATTTTGTTTTTTACCAATTGAAATCAATTTTCCAATTAGAAAAAGTCTATGGTTAGATTTCTTCTCATTTTAAATATTTGCAATAGTTGAGAAATTTTGACTTTAGAAAAAGTCTAGGCTTGTTAAAATTTTGAATATTTTATACTTATACTTTCTTAAAAGTTCTGACAGCACGATAAGTTGATCAAGAAATTGTTCAACAGACTTATTTCCAAAGAATCAATTTTATATTATAAGTCTTGAGATTAATATAGGTGCAGATATGGATAAAAATATAAATATATATGGTATATATGTTTATGCTTCCTTTATATATACAAATTAATAGACGATATGCGTCTCTTTCTGTGTAAAAAAGAATGCCAGACTTCATTTGAATCTACATACGACTCCTGCAACAATTAAGCCCTTGACCTTGCTAAGTTTCCACTTCCAAGCCAGAAATTTCAATAACAATGCCAAAAGAATTTTGGGGGATTTTTCCATTCGGCATGTGACGTAAATTTGCCAACAAAACACGTCATCAATTGAACAGCTGTGTTCCGAGTATCCGTACTTTCCATCGACGAAAATTTGTGTATATAAGACCCGGTTAAATGTGGCAAATGCATCAAAGAGTTTCATTACGAGAAATAATACAAAATGCGCGCTGCTATCCTTATTGCTCTGCTTGTCTTGGTCGCTGTAGCCGCTGCCAAACGTCCTGGAGGAGGTCAAGGAGGTCCTGGCGGTGCACAGGGTGGTCAGCAGGGAGGACCCCAAGGAGGACCGCAAGGAGGACCGCAAGGAGGACCCCAAGGAGGACCGCAAGGAGGTCCTCCAGGAGGTCCTTCCAACTCCACATCTACAACGGAAGCTGGCGATGTTTCCAACACAACAGAAGCTGATGCAGAGGCTTCTACGGATTCGACTACATCTTCCGAATAATTGGAAGGTCCTTAAACTTATTGTATATACTTATATAATTTAAATTAAAATAAATATCATCTGCACACCGTAAACTTTTGTTTATATATAAAGAATCTAACCTATGTCGATTGCCTTTTCTTCCCTTTTTGTCCGAAAATGTGGAAAATTGGTGAAAAAAAGTTGTCATAAAACTTTTATTTAATTTCAGCTTTTCTTAATATAGAGCTTTGAAAACTAGTTCGAAGATTTTTAGCTTAAGCTGAAGCGCTGTCAGATTTGTCCTAATTGTGTTCCGTCCAACTTGAACAAATATTTTTGAATATTAGCTGAAAGTCCAGTGAAATTTACGAGAATCGACAGAAAAGCTTTTCAAGCTTCAAGCTCTTTAACTGAAAACTTTTAAATATAGTTTTGAAATTGATTGGAAGAATCTAATCTTAAATAAAGATCGAAATAAACATAAATATATATGTAAACCAAACTCATGTTAACTAAAAAATTAATTCAGCAGAAACATTGAAGTTTTGGGTACAACTACGTTCATGGGTTTGACTCTCTATATAAAGTACATATTTGATATCTGTTTGGAGGTTTTGAGCTTATAGATGATTTTTATTTGAATAGTATATACATATATATCAAAATTCGAGGGATCTTCAAACTATTTGGATGTAATATCAGTAGAAGCCTCTGCATCAGCTTCTGTTGTGGTGGAAACATCGCCAGCTTCCGTTGTAGATGTGGAGTTGGAAGGACCTCCTGGTGGACCTCCTTGAGGACCTCCTTGGGGTCCTCCTTGGGGTCCTCCCTGCTGACCACCCTGTGCACCGCCAGGACCTCCTTGAGCTCCTTGACCTCCTCCAGGACGTTTGGCAGCGGCAACAGCGACCAAGACAAGCAGAGCAATAAGGATAGCAGCGCGCATTTTGTATTATTTCTCGTAATGAAACTCTTTGATGCCTTTGCCACATTTAACCGGGTCTTATATACCAAAATTTTCGTCGACGGCAAGTATTTGGGAACAGCTGTTCAATTGATGATGTGTTGTGTTGGTAAACTTATGAACGCAAAAATCCCCAAAAATTCATTTGGTTTTGTTGAAATTTCTGGCTGCACTTTGTGCTTGGGAATGAGAATTTGGCAAGGCTTAATGTTAAATTAAACTTATGTTAAGACGGTCTCTGGCAGCATTGTGCACCTTGTGTGATCACGAGCCTGGGCATAACCGGGCAAGGCCGGGCAATGCCCTTACGCTTATCCGATTGCAATACTGCAGCTACGCCTCGCAGCTCTACCCAAAGTACAAATGAACTTTAATAAATTTGTCGTTGCTTCAACTTGGATGGTGGATGGTTCATTAAGTGTGTTTTCCAACACTATAACTCAATTCAGTTGCATTTACTGTTGTTGCTCTGTTAATTGGAATAAACTGTTTTGTGATTTATTTCATGGTAAATGTTGCTAAACAAAATGCTTAATAAAGTTTTTTATTTCTCGCTGAATTATTTTGGCCCGTTTGTTTCAGACAACTTTTTTGTTCTTGTTGCAGCAAAAGTTGCATTGAAAAAAGTGTGAAGCTTTTGGATGGGGAGGGGGGGGGGGTTTATTTGTTGGCGAGAAAAACAACAATTAGTGAGAGTAGCCGAGATTGGGGCGGGACTATAGGACAACCCGAACATAACGCCGATTTGCCCTTTTAAACAATCTAGTTTCCTTCTATAAACATATATTTAGATATTTGTATGTGTCGGTTTTCTGATTTACCATATAATCATTTTATGGTTCGAAAATGTCTGATCTGGAATATATTTACTTTATGGATTCGTAGATGCCTTCTTCTGACTGTATGGTCACAAAATATAATCCAACTACAAGAATACGGACAATATTCAAGTTTGAGGATTTTTACCTGTTACCCTGGCTAAACAACTGAAACAGAAGTAAACGCAAAGTTTTTTGTTTGTCTGACAAAAAAAAAAAGGCGCAACAAGTCAAAAGCCGCAGGTATTGCCACTGCTGTGGGCAGCATTTAGATTCCCTGGTGGCAACGCTGCCGTCGCCAGCAGCAGCAGCAGATGACACGTGACATTTGTGCTTCACATCTTTAAAGTCCGAACTGCCATTTTATTAAAAAATCCCCTCGCATGGTTGCCAGACATCTGCTGCAAATGTACCAAAACTTGTGCTATATTTATGCAATGGTACACAGCATACAAAGGTACTTTTAATGTCCTGCACCTATTGAATACAAAGGCAGTAGACTGTCACTAAATAATTATATAAAATCCTGATCAACAGGATAAGCCTCTTTGAGCTGGCCGTGCCTGGCTTAGGGACTTGGAATATGAGTCATATGTATGCTCGTTTATTATGCGCGGTACAATTTATATACATATATTTTTTCGATATCTCTTTCATAATATCGACAAATATCAATTTTGAGATGTGCTAAGTTATGCCTGAAATAACTTGTAAATGTTTGTCTTAAGGTATCAATTACGATTGAGAGTATTAAGGTTAACAATATTTTATATATTTGATCCATACATATTTCCCTAATTAAATTACAAAAAAAAATCCCCATTATAGACTGTGCCGTATTTAGGGTCTGAACATTTTGCAAATTTCAAACGAGTAAATCTAATTTTCGGTACATTTTCTGGCAATTTCTGGTACAGAACATTTTCTGGCAACAGTCAAGCATGTGTGTGCATGTATGTATGCATGCAAATGCTTGCATGTGTGTGTGAATGCATGCAGATGCTTGCATGCGCGTGTATGCATGCAGATGCTTGCATGCGCGTGTATGCATGCAGATGCTTGCATGCGTGTGTATGCATGCAGATGCTTGCATGTGTGTGTATGCATGCAGATGCTTGCATGTGTGTGTATGCATGCAGATGCTTGCATGTGTGTGTAGCAGCAGGCAAATGAACAATTGAAATGAATTTGTTTCCCATAGATGTTCCGACAGTTGACACACAGACACGCACACACAGGCAAAAACATAGGCACACGCTCACACACACACACACACACACACACACGCTAAGCAAATACAAAAACTTTGCCGACAAACTTTGACTTTGGTTATTGTTACAGTTAAACTTTGTTGCTGTTTTGCCATGTGCTTTGCGCCTGTCGCTTTGTTGCTCTTTTTTTTTGTTGTTTTTCTTTTTGTTGCTCTTCTTTTTATTGCTGTACTTGTTGTTGTCGTTGACATTGCAACAACAATGCGACACACGGCGACAAAGCCCAAAGTACAGAGTGGAATAAAGTTTTCAAATAAAATGATTTCTTGCTTAAGCAGCCGATTTGGACACGCCTACCATTTGAGTAACCATTACGCCCCTCATCCCACCCCTCTTAACTCCCCACATGTGGCGCACCCGTGGGTATTTAATTGGCAGGTCGTGTGTGGCTCACAGAAATCGGAGAAATTAAATCCAAAAATTAGATATGCGACAATCGTATTAAAGTTATGCATATTGGATATTTGTTTTGTTGCATTTTACCGTTCTTCTTTATTCTCATTATCTGTGCATGTTTTGAGATTAACAGTTATGAGCGTCAGCTGTTTTTTCGTCGTTGTAATTCTCAACGAGTTCGGGCAGCGAACAATTATTGGTCCCTGGCATGTTTGCAGTTAAATTGTTTGCTATTGCTAGAACTGATAGGATTTTTTTGGTATAGCTTTAAAAAAAACCTTCCTATTCCTATTAAAATTAACCCCCAGTCGGAAAGCTTAAACTTTCACTTGAAGTTATTGTTATTGTTATTGCCTACTTAACAGTTAAGAGTCGAACACCTTTTGGTTAAGTGTGTGACGCCATTTCCATTTAAAGTTTACATAATTCCATGTTGATCAACGCAGTCTATTTGTTGACTTTGGGCAAATAAACATGAAAACATTGTAAGATCAACAATGAACAGCTGCTCTTGGAATTAATTACTCTTGTAAACATTCAGTTATAAAAATAGTCATATAACAAAAATTTGAAAAAAATATAAAAATAACCGACAGCTGTTAGGCACTTTATGTGCCCTTTAGCCCAAAAATATTCTCAGAAATGTGATTTTTAAAGTCCATCTTCAGAAACCACTCAGATTGCGTCGAAGCCAAGCGAAATCCCGATGGAAAATCTTTTAAATATATTTACTTTTAAACCAAAACCACCTCAGGAAAATTAATTAAAACGAAAAAAGATTCGCATCAAGCGAGAGGACTAAGGTAAAGAAACAAGAACCACATTTAGCACGAAATCAAATAAAATGCTTCAACATATAATTAAACAAATACAAAAAACTATTGTATAAAGAAATATTCAGGTTTTTGTATAAGGAAAAAGAATCGGAATCGGAATCCAGGCAAGCAGGAATTCAGGATTCACTTATCGACAGAGCAGGAAATACTCAACTCTTCCACACGTTTAATATAAAAAAAATAGTGCAAATACCTCATATAATAAAAAAAAAAAGTAAATATAAAATAAGAAAAAATAGCCCATTCAAGGAGACGATGTTGATTTTGTTTCTTCGCAGGTCTTAAGACTGTTCAATATGCGTTACATAGATCTATTCCTAAAGACCACAATGGATTTATAGACGCCGAGCAGAGTCCTAGAAAAAATGTAAAACTATCATGAAACTGGAAAAAATATAAAAAGGAAAAAATCAAAAGAAATCTCCACAAAACACAGGTCAAATAAAATACAATATAAATACAAAAACCAAATATTGCGCGTGTTTAAAAAAAAATATGCTCAACTTGAACAAAATGGATAAAGAAATATTTTATCGTAATGAAATTAGGAATTTGTAAAATATTTATTCCCTCCTCATAGCCACGCTTGCAGGTATTCAGGGCTTGTATTCCCTGTAAATCAAGACACGCAACTCTTCCAAATGTTCTATTGCAAACAAATTGAATTAGGAAAATATTTAACCCAAATGCTCATCGATGATATCGTATCGTATCGTATCGTATCGTATAAGAATAGACTGTTTTATATGCTTTGCATAGATGTGTCCCTGAGATCCACACATATGAAGAGTGGAAAATTGAATATAAATTTAGAAAACAAAAAAATGCATAACTGAGCAAAATATACTCAGATCAGATATATAAAAAATAGAAATAGCTCATACTTTTTTTTGATGTTCGCGAAACTGACGATGATGGCGAGGATAGCGTAGAGAAATACCAATGCCAAATTAAAAAAAAAAATAATAATAAAAAGAAAATAAGTCGTTTATTTAGATAAACAATAAAACCAAAAAATAAAAAAGGAACAAAAAATAAAAAGGAACAAAAAATATTAATAAAAAATAAAAGTAGATAAAGAAGAGTCTGTACTCGATGAGGCTCAGAGGCAGACTGAGGATAATGCCAGTTGCCTCTTCGGACCTGGAAAATTTCGACTGATTCAATGCCTACTTCGATTATAAGAAATGGAACTTCTCAAAAGCAGCCCTTGCTGATAAGTTATAAGAAATCTAGACAGCTTATCGATAAACAAAAAGTACTTCGATTACAAGGGAAATTCGACAAATTAAATAAATTATATAAAATTATATAGGATGTTGAATTTCGACCAAAAATAATGTTGCCAGATTGAGATGAAGGTTCAGGGTATTTCCTAGTCGGGAACGCCCGACTAGAGCGTTTTGCTTCTTATTCAATAAAAGAAGATACCGACAAATATACTGGGAAATAGCCAGGCAGGGCCAAACGACAAAGGACAAAGGACAAAATCGACATGATAAGCCGCCTTACGTATAAACTCTGCAGGGATTCCAGAAAATACTTGTGAATGATTGTTTGGGGTTGGAGGGGGAAGGCGGGGGTGTGAATACAAAGTGTGCCAATGGGAACCACAAAAAGATTTCATGTGTATTTTTAGAGCGTCAAAAATTGTTTATTTA